AGGCAGGTGGATCTCTGTGAGTCTGAGGCCAGCCTGGTCTACAGAGCTACACAGAGAAATCCTGTCTCAATAAATAAATAAACAAATAAATAAAGTGTGTGTGTGTGTGTGTGTGTGTGTGTGTTGCATGTATACAGCATAACAAAAAATTTGGGGTCATAAGACAACTTGTAACAGTCACCTCTCCACAAGTGGAACCCAAGCCAAGCCATCAGGCTCTGCATGGCGGCAAGCATCTTCACCTACTGAACCATCTCACCAACTTAACTGTTGAACTATGTAAGTGTGTACTTGTCCCTGGTACCAAGGTCGTTTACAAGACAATGTCTGATTCCCTGGATCAGATGGGTAGGTGCTGGGAATAGAACCATACCCCACTTCCTTTCTGATCGCTGCTTCCTGAACTGCCTGCATGGGAACAAGCACTGGTTTATCAGTAGAGTGGAGAAAGGGGAAAGGGGGTGCACAGGGATGTCTGGAAGAGACAGGTGGAGAGAAGGAGTGGGGCAGAGTGTCTGCTTTTAAAGGTTGCTCAGCGCTTGAGTATAGGAGCTTTAGTAGCCATGCCATGCATGCACATAGGTTACATAAGGCCCTGGGATGACTAGGTATTTTGCCTGGATGCTGATGGCACATGTGCAGTCAACTCTGGAAATGCTAACACCTAGGGAGACTGAGCATTTTGCCTGGGTGCTGACGGCCACGTACATGGCCCTGGGACCCCAGAAATGTTGAAAATGATAACAAATCCTGCTGCTGTTCCTCCACAGCATGAAGATTGTGTCCTCAGATTGAGACAAAATAAACCCCTCTTGTTATTCTCTCTCTCTCATTCTCTCTCTCTCTCTTTCTCTCTCTCTCTCTCTCTCTCTCTCTCTCTCTCTCTCTCTCTCTCTCTTTCTCCCTCTCTCTGGGCTTTTGAGACAGGGTCTCTCTGTGTAACAACATTTTTAATTCTGCATATGTGTGTGAGAGAGAGAATATGTGTACATGTGTACAGTTGCTCACAGAAGCCAGAGGAAATCAGATCCCCTGGAGTTGGAGTTACAAGAGGTTGTGACCTGCTCCAAATGGGTGTTAGGAACTGAACTCTGGTCACTAGAAGAGCAGCAAGTACTCTTAATTGCTACACTACATCTCCAGTCTGTGCCTTGGAAACTCTTAGGACAGGCAATCTTTATACTGGAGAATGCTCAGTAACACCCTGAGAATATCTCAAAGGTGCATTTCGGATTGATGGTCATCCTAACGCTCTTTCATTTCCCTTTGGTTTTTGGTTGGTTGGTTCATAGGTTGAGTTGTGCTCAGTTAACAAAAACAAACCAGAATACCACTAAGTGAGACATCTCTCTAATATTTATGTCCTGATTTGTAAAACAAGTAAACTATCTATTTAATGAAGACTTCACCAGGTTTTATAGTGGCTTTCTGATTTTGTTAGTCCATACAAGAAGGGAGTTTGGAAGTTCTTATAAACTATTACTGATTGTCTGCCCATGTCCTTCCTGAAATATCATGATTATTTATGGAAAGTATCTTTAATAAAGCTGGATATGGTTTGGCTTGGGGGGGGGAGATAGTTGCTAATAAGCCTGAGCTATTGGCCAAGCATTTGTAATTAATATTAAGACTCTGTCAGTTATTTATAAACTGGTGGTTAGGACAGGAAATCTCCACCTACAGGAACCCAAGCATTATTATCAGTAAAGAAGCTTCATGTTTCCAGTGTTTCCTTGTCCTAACAGCATCGAAGAGAATTGTGGTGCTCTATAAGAAGCACAAGTCAAATGCTTACCTCCTTTCAGAGCTTTGCAGAAAGAATAATTGTCATCATATCCGTGGCAAATAATTTCTTTTCGAGTTGGCACCTCTATGGAGTTGACATTGATGGAGAGGTTGAAATATAATTTTTTTAAGTCTCTCCCTTAGAAAGTAAGAAAAAAAATCCCATTAGTCGCTACAGTAAGGTGTTCTGTACAGAGTGTTTGTTGTGCCCTTAGTGTGTGCCTTGTGCTTTTTTTCCTACACTGCTGCATCACAGCTGTCTATGAGGTATTAGTATTCTTATTCCAATGATAAAGTTCTAAGAAGACAACTTTGCAGAAGAATTGAATGCTTCACAGTGACAGCTATGTAAAATATGCAAAAAAAAAAAAAAAAAAAAAAAAAAAAAAAAAAAAAAAAAAACAGAAAGACAGAGATTGTGACAGCTACCAAATACATAAGACTTTTAGTTTTGATAAAGCTCACCCAGAAAATTCAAAGGAAAGGAAGGTTGTGGGAATAATCAATTCATCAGCTTTTGGAGTGTGGATAAACATTGTCAAAAGAATATAAAGACCAGGTGTGGCAGTGCATGTCCTTAATTCCAGCACTTGGGAGACAGAGGCAGTCCCATCTCTCTGAGTTCAAGACCAGCCTAGTCAACATAAAGATGTCCTGCCCCAAATAAACTAAAATAATAATAATAATAAATAATAATAATAATAATAATAGAAGAAGAAGACTGAAGCAGGAGGCTCACAAGTTCAAAACTGTCTAGGTTACAAGGTGAGTTCAATGCAAACCCTTGATAATTTAGACCTGTGACAAAATAAAATGTATAAATATACATTTTTTTAAAGACGGGGTCTCATTGTGTACCTTTGTCTGACCTGGAAACCACTAAGTAGATCAGGCTAGCCTCACATTCATAGAGATCCATCTGCCTCCACCTCTGAATGTTGGGATTAAAAGTGTGATAAATTTATCACAATCACTATAGATCAATCAAAAGCAGCTTCTCCATCTTCAGACTGAACTCCACTATGCTTGACAGAACTGCCAGATCCTTCTCCTGGCCCCTCTTTGAGACTGGTTCTATCACCTTCCCATTGTCTTAGTCCATCCCATGTGTGTATCCCTACCCCCCACCCCACCCAGTCACCTCTGGCTCCTCTTCATTGTCATTGAGCTTTCTTTCTTACTGTTCCTCTTCAGTTCTCAGTTTTAACCCTGAACATTCTCCCTGATTTTAGGTGCCACATGATTTTACATCTTTAGTCAAATATTTCTCAGTTCTACAATGTGAGGATCTTTGTCCCAGCTGGTCCCGTGGCCCTTGAGCCCCCAAATGAGCACACAGAGACTTTATTAATTATGAAACTGTTGACTGTTGGGTTTCTTGTTGGCTAGATCTGTCTTTTTTGCTGCTCCCTCATGACCTCTGCATCCTTCCTTTTCTTCCCTTCTCATTCTCGTAGCTCCCTCCCCCCTCTTCCCATGCTTTCAATTTGCTCAGGGGATTGTGACCCTTTCCCCTTCTCCAGGGGACAATGTTTGTCTCTTTTAGGGTCCTCCTTGTTTACTAGTTTCTCTGGCAGTGTGGATTGTAGGATGGTAATCCCTTACTCTATGTCTAAAATCCACATATGAGTGAGTACATATCATGTTTGTCTTTTTGTGATTGGGTTACCTCACTCAGAATGGTTTCTTCGAGTTCTATCCATTTTCCTGCAAATTTCAAAATTCCATTGTTTCTTTCTGCTGAGTAGTACTCCATTATGTAAATGTACCACATTTTCTCTATCCATTCTTCAGTTGAGGGGCATCTAGGCTGCTTCCAGTTTCTGGCTATTACAAATAGTGCTGCTATGAACATCGTTGAACAGATTCCTTTGTTGTATGAATGTGCTTCTTTTGGGTATATGCCTAGGAGTGGAATTGCTGGATCTTGTAGTAGACTGATTCCCATTTTCTTGAGGAGTCGCCATACTGATTTCCAAAGTGGCTGTACAAGTTGGCACTCCCACCAGCAGTGGAGAAGTGTTCCCCTTTCTCCACATCCTCTCCAGCATAAACTGTCATTGGTGTTTTTTATTTTAGCCATTGGCTAGCTCTATCTTAATTATTAACCCATTTCTATTAATATAAGTATTTCCATGTTGTCTTATCTTACCGGAGAAGGGTCCGGACTTCTTACCCCTTTGCAATCTCACATGGTGTCTGTTAAGTTTCTCCACAGAGAAGAGAGCAATTTCCTGTTTGTCCCTGCTTATATCCTGATTCTGTCCAGCTATACCTCCAGACCTCTATGTTTAACTAGTGGCAAGTTTCTGCCCAGCTACGTCACTTCCTGTCTGTCTATACATACCTCCAGACCTCTATGGTTAACTAGTGGCAAGTTTCTGCCCAGCTATGTCACTTCCTGTCTGGTCAGTCAACCAATCAGTGTTTTATTCATTAACCAGTAAGGGAAACATATATACAAAGGAACATTCCCCATCACAGTTCCCTCACACAATAAACTCAAAGGTGATTTTCCCATCATCAACATCAAACTGGTGTTACAGGAATCTTTCTGGAACAAGCCCCCTGACACCACAAAGAGTGGAAGAGAGATGTCACTGATGGACTGAAGCCAGGACAGCTCCTAAAAGGGCTTTGATCCTGGTTCCAGCTGCATCTTCATTTTATTCCTTAAAACTGCCAAGTGGGTGGGCAAGCAAGCAAGCAAGAAGCATATGTGGCAGTCGGGAGGCTATTAATGGTAACAACCAAATGTTTCAGCTATTTCTCCAGGTATCCCTATGTCAGGTAGCAAGTGGGGGTATGCTGGGCAATAGGCAGCACAAGCAGTGCTTTTAAGTAAAACACTAAATAAATCAATAAATCAGTATCTAATAATTGATCTTTTTATTTTATTCTACTTACCAGACACCTTTCTAGCCCTACTACTACCATGTCAGCAGAGGCACATATTACCCCAAGCCTGAAGACCACCAAATGACCTATGTTTGCTCTATATAAACACTTCCTGGGTTAGGTGTAGAAAAGATTATTATGGGGCCAGTTAAAAATTAAAAAAAAAAAAAGAGTAGGTCCCATGGACTCTCTAAACACCAGAGTGTGTACGTGTATGAGTTGAAGAGATGAGTCCACCAGGAATTCCTGAGGCACAGAGCTAGGGCTCTGTGCTGCACACATTGTAGACAGCACTGCTATCCTGATGACAATGTAAAATAAAGAGCCTCTTCCTCAACTCCTAGAGGTCCAGCATGATTCCAGTCTCCAGTGACTCCAGGACAGGAAGTCCTGCTTTGACATCTCAGTGGTTTATATCTTGAGAAGCCTTTGGTCTTGGACATGACTAAACTCATAGTTATGAGCAATGGCTGTAGTAACATACCACTTCTGAGGCCTAGCAGGTCAAAGACATCAGTGTGAATGTTGGAGTGGGAAATGAGAAACACAGTGGCTATCATGAGGGAACAAAAGAAAGTATTTTTGAGTTTGCCTAGGACAACTCCAGGATTGGCTAAAAGTAACCCTGAAGGGACTTATTACATGGGTTTGTTTGTTTCTATTATACAAAGACTCGCTGGTAAGATTGAAAAGTGCCAGAAGATATCATTTCTATTCCCACTCAATCTTTGACTCAAGCTTATAATTACAGCTCTTATTAAATTCAGGTTAGAAATAAAACCATAAAAGCAAGCCTGGTTTTATGAATGGGCTCTGCACTTTATAGAGATTATAATAAATTCTAGGATAGTAATTGTGAAGCACTATAAAAAATGACTAGATAACTATTTTGTTACGGGATTAATATAATTAATTATGTGATATTGAATGAATAACACATTTGTGGCGGCAATGAAGGAATTCCATTTAAATTTCCTGCTAAAGAAACTGTTATGCGGGGCATTGGTGGCACATGCCTTTAATCCCAGCACTAGCAGGCAGAGGCAGGCAGATCTCTGTGAGTTCGAGGCCAGCCTGGTCTCCAGAGCAAGTGCCAGGATAGGCTCCAAAGCTACACAGAGAAACCCTGTCTCAAAAAACAAAAAACAAAAAGAAAAAAGAAAAAAGAAAAAAACTGTTATAAGGAGGGTAGTCAGCAGACAGCATATAGCTGCAGAACCTTAGATCTATTTAGCATTCAACTATATGCCTGCCAGGCAGTGGTGGCGCACGCCTTTAGTCCCAGCACTTGGGAGGCAGAAGCAGGTGAATCTCTGTGAGTTTGAGACCAGCCTGGTCTACAAGAGGTAGTTCCAAGACAGCCTCCAAAAGCCACAGAGAAACCCTGTCTCAGGAAAAACAACAACAACAACAAAAACAAACAAACAAACAAAAAAAAAAAAAAACTATAGGTCTTACATTGGGGCAAGCTCACCCTGAAATCATCAAACACCTCAAGTGTCCTTGAGACAAGCCATTCTTTTTTTTTTAGTTTTTTATTTTTTATATATTTGAATTACAAGCTAGATTGAATTGCATGACAATCCCAGTTCCCTTCTCCCTCCCTTCCTCCCCTACCACCCCCTCAACTAAAATCCTACCTATATGTCCTTTCTTCTAATCTACACCTGACTCAACCTTTCTGTTTCCTTATGACCTCTGCATCCTTCCTTTTCTTCCCTTCTTACTCTCATAGCTTCCTCCCGCCTCTTCCCATGTTCTCAATTTGCTCAGGGGATGGTGACCCGTTCCCCTTCTCCAAAGGGGAAGTTTTGGAGACAACAAAGTTGAGACAAGCCATTCTTACAAGTCGTGAAATGACTGATTGGTTGATTGATTTTTGAGAAAGGTTCTCACTATGTAGACCAGGCTAGCCCCAGACTCACAGACATCTCCTCCCTGCACTTCCCAAGTGCTGGGATTAAAGGTATATGCACCACACTCAGCTCCTGATTTTTTTTAATTAAAAAATTATTTTATTTTATTTTTCTATATGTTTATGTTTGTGAACCACTTGCCTGCCTGGTGCCTCAGAAGCCAGAAGAGGGTATTGGATCTCCTGAAACTGGAGTTACAGACAGCTGTTAGTCATCATGTGGGTTCTGGGATTCAAACCAGGTCCTCTGCAAGAGCAGTTAATGATCTTAACCACTGGTCATCTCTCCAGTCCCTGTTGACTTATTTTTTTGAAAGGGGTAAACT